GGGGGGGGGGGGGGGGGGGGGGGGTATGCTGAGAAAAGGGAAAGAGAAGTGGCTCCGTGTCTTCACAAAAAAGGGAGAACAGGGGAGACAAAAGAGCCAACAGGGCAGCAGTGTTAATGAGAATACGAGACAGAAGAGAAAATGAAACGAGGCGAGGGAATAAAGGAGACAGTGAAACGGAGAAGAACCAGCTTCACTGAAAATGGAGAAAAGTTCATTTTTAAGGCATCTTGAGTTTCTTTCTAAATGGCATATAGATTTATAATGTCTTGTACATAGATTTTTATAGAGCCAATACAAGAATGAAGATATAATCAATTAAAAATGACACATTTTTCTTAGTGAGTGATGAAAATACATCAAAGTTCATTAAAAAAGTTATAAAACCAACATGCCAACCTAAAGTGTAAATAAAGTTAAAACTTTCATTTATGTTGTGTTCTTGCCATCAGCAGTTATAATAACATGGTTGGTGCGATTACATACAAATTTAAAACAGGGACATAAATAGCGTTTTGTGAGAAGCATCACAATAACTTAAAACTTCTTACTTAAAGTGCTCTAATCGTGTGATGCTATGCTGCAGCAGCCTTGGAGCATAAAGAGCCTCTTGTTGTTGGTTTGTTTATTTAGACACTGTTTCTTATTGCCAGTTTATCAGTTCAAACGATGCATAAGATAATGATCCAAGCCACTTACACCCACATTGTCATTTGCCTAACATATATTAGCTTTCAGCAACTACCACATTATACTTTAGCTTAATTTGTGTAAAACTGAATAAATTATAGTACATCTTTCTAGGTTGGTTGTGGCAGTCATTTTACAACAGATTGGTTCCAAATTTATAATTTCTGAGAGATTCATTAAAAATCACATCTTACATTGTATCCATACTTCTTGTAAGCTATTTGTCAGTGCTAGTGGTATGGACTGAGGATCAGCCTCAACTACTACCTCACCAAATGTTAGCTCAGTATCTGTGAAATCGGACACATTTGTGTTGATTAGCAGTGGCAGCCATATTTAATTGAGTTGACGCTAAATGTTATTGAGCTGTAGATTTATGTTCAGTTAATTTTTGTCGGTTTTGCTAAAAATCCAATCAGTGGTCCATGAAATATTTTACTAACAGAGGTACAAGCACACAGCCAAAAGGCAAAAGGTGGTAAACATGGTAATCAGTGAAACAAACACATTTTTGACTGAATACAATAAACACTACATAAATTACTGAGAGTGCATCATTAACTTTTGTTTTAAGTCAAGACAAAAAAAGTATAATTTTCATTAATCAATGTATGGGATCAAAAGGCCATATCACTGCTAAATATAACAAAACTTGGAGGTAAAGTTGGTGGCTGAGATAAGTAAATTTCTCACTTAATTAATAGAATCACCATGCCATTTAACATTTAACATATGTTTAAGCTATAAATCCTATAGCAATAAAGTTTTTCAACTGGCAATAACCTTAATATTCTATTAAGTAAATCAGTTTCTTTTCGTGTTATTCTCTACAAAAACTAGAGTTTAATGTTTTCTTAACTTAACACTTAGCTTGATGTCAGGTTTGCATGTTTTTGAGTTTTGTTTGCGATGATGACCATATTTAAACGGACATTGGTAGAGAAAATAATTGCAGCAGTGAGGGAAAAGCCTAAACGTACATGGAAACTGTTAAGATCTGTGTATGTTGATTACCTTTTGATTGTCTTTCTATTTAAGATCTGATTCTGTTTTCCTTTTTGGTACTAATTCAGATTTTTTTTTTTTTATTTTGTTACTCGTGGTGTTATCTGACCTTTTTGTGAGGGTCATTCTACAGTTTCAGTTTAGTTTCAAGTTTAGTTTCAGATCAGTTTGTGTTTGATTCAATTTGTTTATGGTTATTGTGCGATTTACTTACTTGTGTTTTCTTTCTTTCAGTTTTTCTTCTGTGTGCCAGCATTCACTTGGTTGTTTACCCTCTCGATACCTTTCCATCAGTCAGCCACGCCCACTCTCACCTACTCCTAGGTGTCTTCCCCCCAGGGGTTCCTCATGCTGCTCATAAATTTAGGTATTTTTATAGTTTGTTCCTTCAAATCAGTCTGGCATCAACTGTCTTCCATATAATCCTGTTTGTATCTCAGATCCTGTTCAGTCTCCAGTGAGTTTCCTTATGTTATTATTTTACTATTTTTCTGCCACGCCAGCAATTTATTTTCCTAATTCTTGTAAATAAAGTTGTGTTTAAGTACCGTTGAACTCCTTGCTTCAGTCTGCACTCTAGGTCTATCTCATGGGAACAAATTAAGGTCATAAATATTTTGTACTTGTTAACCAGTTTTGTGTTCTTGTAAATCCATTTTGTAACTTGGTAAAATATGTTTGGGATTTGTGCATATGTAGATAGAGATTTGTGTTTGTTTTAAAAAGATTGGTATTTGTTAAAAAAAATCAAAACACAAGCTACAAACCTTTTGTGCAAAGATCAGTTTATGTAATGAAGATTAGTGGATGAGCTCTAATAACATAATGAGATAGTGTTGAAAACATTCTAATGCTAAGACAAGCTAAATGCTGTCAAGGTGAACTCTGGAAGCCTTTTAACTGAATATAACATCAGCTCTCTGTGTTCAGAAACCATAGTCATGTAAAACATTTAATGATTCATGTACACATAGCTACCAGCACCAATCAGATATAAAATAAGTCCAGAGACAGTGTCTCTGTCAGACATAGTTTTACAGTCAACACTGATAAAATAAATGGTTAGGGTGAAATACAGAAATATATTAGATGTTTAACACATCATGCCCTTACACAGAAAAATATTTATGACATACTTACCCCAAAACACCTGAGCTGACTATTAGTTCTGATACGAACCTCATTCAGGACAACAGGGTGAAGGAGAGCCCTCATGTACTGAAGGGAAACTCACCGCTGGATACACTATAGATTCCTGGGGGCAGTGGAAGATGGTGTGTCTGTCCATATTGTCCATTGAGGATGTAGAAGACACGTACATAATTGGCTTTATGATAACAAGTTTTCTGTTTTTTGGAGTTGGCAGGTATTTGGCATATCGACAAATTCGGAAGACGTCGGCAGCGGTTCTGGCAAATGTGAAGCTGCCAGTATGTGAAGGAATGTGCCATGCTTTGAGCACTCAGATCAGACAAAGGCTTTGTAAGCTAAGCCATAAGCTGGACACAAATTCCAAGAATCACAGGCCACTTGCAGCTCTGGAACTCGCTGGCATGAAAGAATCGACCTTGGAGAAGGCTACAAGCACAGCCCGGCGGAGTGACCACAAAAGGTGGCTGTTTGGAGCCGCCATTTGAGATGTACTAGCAGAACTATGAAGGTAGACAAAAAAAATCAAGCAGAGTCAGCTTGTTCCAAAACAAATGTTATCTGAATCTGACTTCCTCACTTGACCTTGAATAAGCCAGTTATCTCAAATTTCTCCTGGAGGTTATGCGAACAAGAAGCTCTGCTCCCCCACCTCCCCTCCGAGGACATCTGTGGACCTGTATCAGAGTTGAGCCGGCTGACAGACAATGTGCCATCTCTTATCAGGAACTTTCTGACAGTGTCCACGGACAACTCACTGTTTTTTGTCGGTCTCCTCTTGCATAATTGTATTATATCATTAGTATGTTGCTCTTTATGTGCAAGTTTTTTTTTTGGCAACTTTCACACCGTGCCCCAGCCCGGACATAGTGCGAGATGATTTTTTTTTCCACCTCCCCTCGTATTCTATTTTCCTTATCTACTTTTGTCTGTCTGAAACATGTCTCTCTTGTAAATGAGTCCTCGAGGCTCAATGAGAACTAATCTGTATAAATAAAGGTTGAATGAATGAAAAAAATCAGTTGCTAGTGAATGCAAATACAGTAGCTCTGTAAGAAATTAATTCTGCTTCTGAGGTCAAGTCTTTACATGACTGTCAGATTATTTGAGCCTATTTCAGCATATATATATCGACATTATTAATAAAAAAAATAAATAAAGTAAAACTTTTCATTATAAGCTGAGCTACCAAGCACAACTTTGGTATTATGTGACGTGAAA